TTAAGGTTTAAGGTTTCAGGGTTCACACAGTAGGGGTGCCACCCCCCGACACCCCCTCACACACACCCCCACACACACAGAGGGAGAGGTGCCACACACACACCCCACCCCGCCACCCACACACAGAGGGAGAGGTGACACACACACTCGCATACTTGATAGCTGCTTTCAACTACCTGAAAGGGGGTTCCAAAGAGGTTGGATCTAGACTGTTCTCAGTGGTACCAGATGACAGAACAAGGAGTAATGGACTCAAGTTGCAGAGGGGGAGGTTTAGATTGGATATTAGGAAAAACTTTTTCACTAGGAGGGTGGTGAAGCACTGGAATGGGTTCCCTAGGGAGGTGGTGGAATCTCCTTCCTGAGAGGTTTTTAAGGTCAGGCTTGACAAAGCCCTGGCTGGGATGATTTAGTTGGGGATTGGTCCTGCTTTGAGCAGGGGGTTGGACTAGATACCTCCTGAGGTCCCTTCCAGCCCTGATAGTCTATGATACACCTCTCACGTGGGGCGGGAGGGGGAGATGTGTGACCGACCAATCCAACCATCCCTGCCTGGTGCTCTCTGCCCTCCATGCCTGCCTGCCTCTCCTGGTTCCTGGCGCCATATCTTCCCAAGGCAACGTGTGTGTGTGGGCGGGGGGGAGGGGGGAAGGATGAGCCCACACACACACATTGTGCACCAGGGCCCCTGGCTGCAGGGGTGTCAGCAAACCGGCCAGAGGGGTGGCTCAGCAGGGGAGGGTGGCTAGGGGATGGAGCAGCCCCGTGCTCCCCAGGGGCAGGACCCAGGGTGGGGGCCTAGGGGGTGAAGAGGGGGCTAAGCCCCTCCCCAGGGGGCTGCTGTGGAGCCAGCAAGTTCAGGGCGTGAACAGGCTGGAAATCGCTGCCCCCCCCCCCCGAGCTTAGCTGAGGGGCGGAGAGGCTGCCCCATGCCAGCGCTGTGCAGGGCTTTGGCACATGCAGGGCTCGGCTCCTCCTGGCCAACGCCACGGGCCGGAAAGACTTGGGCTTTCCCAGGCACTGGCCCAGCCAGAGGCAGTGGGGGGAAGGAAGGAACCTGCCGGCCAGGCTGTTGGTGAGCTGAGCGCTCTGACCAGGGGCTGGTTCTCTGCACGCGCTGGGAGCAGGACACGTCCTGCCGGGGGGATATGGAGGAGCAGCAGGGCTGGGGGGGCGAAGCAGGGCGAGGGCAGCGAGAGGGGAGCACATAAAGGGCCGATGGGTCGGCAGCAGAGGCGACACATGGCCGGCCTCTGCCTGGCGCCTGCCAGCGCTCACCAGCCACCGCAGCTCGCAGCCAGCACTGGTCGGAAACGGGCCGGGGGCCGGGGCCCTGCTGGCCAAGAGCCGGCCCACAGCAGGGGCTGATGGACCGGCAGGGGGAGGGGCCGGCCCCTCTTGCTGCAGCTTCTTCCCGCCTTGCACACCCACCAGCCTTGCACACCCACCCCCATCGTCAGCCACCGGACCCCCCACTCACTGCTGGTGGGCGGGCAGCTGGCGAGCAGGGACCCGGCCAGCACCAATGGGGGGAGACAGAAAATACGGGACAATTTGCCCGTTTTTAAGAAAGTGAGGACCCCAGCAGGCGGCTGAAAGACGGGACTGTCCCTTTATAAACAGGACGTCTGGTCACCCTACTGACGTGCTGCTGGGCCGACTCCTCTCTGGCTCCCTGAGGAGCCTGGACCGGTGCGGGGCTGACGGCGTCTTGCTGCTGGGAGCCCAGCTGCCCTGCCACCTCCTGGCGTGGCTGGATTCCCTCCGGGGTCCTGCCGCGGAGCTGGCTTCTCCCCAGCCCTGGC